ATTATAAACTCTCCAGTACGATTAGGAAGTATTTAATGACTACTTAATAGGTAATTCACTTACCCGACACACCAGCTCAGCTATGAGGAAGCGGCAACGCTCCTCCTTAATCTTGTAGTCCAAATTGTGGGCCAGCAATGCGGGCACACCGATAAACATGTCTACCAGCCTGATGAGTGCATTCAGCAGAGCATGCATTGCATGCACCACAGAAAAAAAGTGGGAGAAGATGCGGGCCCGRGCTGTGACGACTACGAAGCGTGCTGCCAACGCCAGGTCGCTTAAGAAGGAATCATGGGCGCGCAGGGTGCCCTTTTGCAGGAGTTGAGAGAGGCGCCACTTGTGGACCTGGCCAGTAAAATGCAAACTGGGAACGTCGAATTCACTGTGAAAGCAAATCAGAATGTTTTAGACAGTTGATAGGATTCATGAGAGCAACAGATAAAACACATATGGGTACAACACAGTGATGCGAGACAAAATTAAATGACAAATTATAAGCATGCTTAAGCGTGGGCCAGATTCTTAATTTTGTTTGATCGAATKCACGTGACTATGWTAAAATTAATTAAATTAGTTACACTTAAWATTAGTTTGTGTGCGAGTGAAATGATTTGTGAAATGTTTGTGTGTATTCCCTATTTGAATAACTAAATCAGTACTAATTGGCTAATCAAAGAACAGTAATTATATATACATGTATATCGGAAGTAATATTTGATATTCTATATTAAAAACTTAAAATCTATATTTTTTAGTTGTGGCAAATCCGTTAACATTGTTGAATTCAAGAAACTTTATGATCTCTAAACTTTTGAAAATAGAGGCAACAAGACTAATGGAAGCTGCCAAAAGATTTATTTTTTATATTCGTTTTGTCTTAAGATTTGTTTTGCGAATTTTCAATTCGTTTTAAAGGCATGCATAAATTTAGCGTAGCGTTATTTATGAATGGATATTTATAAACATAGGAAACAAAGTACCACGCATAATTTATGTATCTTGAGGCTAGAAGAAATTATAACTGTATATGCATGTAAATGTATACAATAGGTACAAAATATGATACACTGACTAAACAATTTGATATGCATTATGGCAAACACGCAAAACATTTATTTCGGTTTTAATTTATTTTTATTTTTTGTTTTTGTAGTTCGTTGCTTATTGTTTATTTACCCATTTTTACGTATTGTTTCCAATTGTTCCAAAGTTAATTTCTTCGGCTTTCCATATTTATCCTTTTGCAAGCTTTACAGGAATATTTCACATACAAACATTTTGTTTACGTTAATTGTAACTGTATGCAGTTACGTACAGACACATATTTGCGCATTTTGACGTAATGTTAATGCGTTGTTTCAAAGCTTAAAATAGTGAAGCATGCAATAAACGTAAAACAAAACTGAACCGCAAAAAAATAAAACAATTTTCTCTTTCGCCCCAAAGACTTTTTAACATGCTTCTGATTGGCTTGTTGCTTTTG